TAATTTTGAAAGGTACCCAATGTGGATCCCTTCCAACTTTTTATGGTATGGGCTTTAATATTCAGTCACATAACCATTTTGAGCTTATTGTGGTATACGATATAAAATATTTGTCTAAACCTAATTTCTGCCAAACTACTTCAAGTTTTTCCAATAATTCTTACCAAATAGGGAGTTCTTACCCAAGTAATACATATTCTCAAATCTATGAGCAACAGATTATTTAGGTCACTTGTTTCAGATTTTCCTTTATCTAATTGGTTCCACTAATCTTGTTTTCTATTCTACCAAATAGTTTGATGATTATTGATTTGTAGTATACTATGAGATCTTGATGTATTTCATTTCTACATTTTTCATTATTTTCCTTTAGATTCTAGATTTCTTCAAAGTCAATGCTGAAAGTTCATTATAAACCCAAAGAAGTCAGACCAGCTGCTCTTCCACACGGGGGAAAAGGAAGACAAACCCCCATTCTCTACAGTAGGGGCTCCAGCATCCCCTGACACTTGCCCACAAGAAGTGGGAATAAAACTGTGTAGTCCTTGTGCATAAGAAGATATACAAGCACACACATACAAAGAGGCAACTGTGTATACAGAAACCCACAACCAGGTGCACATGACCATACCCACATGCGCAGAAAATCACATATTCATATACATGTACCTATAGCTATTAAAAAAAGATTCTAAATCAAAATGTATAATAAAAGATGAGTTCTCTTCAACTGTGTTGTGATTGCTTCTTTCTTATAGAATTCTCACCGTCTCGACGTCTCCCTTTCTCTGAGTCTCCCTGTTTCTTGTGGTTGTTAAACATCATTAGGGGCATTTTAGAGGATCAATGGGAATGGAGTTAGTGCAGGACCAGTCTCAATAAATCTGGAAAGAGGCAGCAGAATGGCCCAGGAAATAAATTCAAATTCATCATTTAACCATATTGATTACTGTGAAGACCTCGTTTGCTAAGATTTAATGAGGAGGGTTTGATGGAAGTACCAGCATCTCAGTGTCCCTCAATCAGAGAAGGCTAGTCCTTAAATAAACCACTCGAAAGGCTCCTCCCATTCAGCCCTGTACCTCCTCCCCCTTCTCCCCACCCCCATCCACAAAGGACTATAACTCAACAGTTTCATACAGAGAATTAAAATATTCCTCAGTGTTCTGAACATCTGACAAATTCTTCTAGATAATCCCTCCTCCCTTTTTCTCCCTAGCTGTATCAGTTCATCTCTCTCCATCTCCTAATTGTTTCTCATTTCTCTTCCTTTGTCCCCTGAGCTCAGCAGGTTGGGTGACTCAAGGAGAAAACATTCTTATTCTTCCCTGCCTGGAGCCTGCTTTCTCCCAGGCCCTGGGTGTGTGTCCACAGACAGGACTCAGAGTACAGCTGGAGCTGTCAATGCCCCCAACCCTGGGAATTATTTGGGGCCACTAATTAGCATGTAACTCACAAAACTTAATTAAGCTGCCAGGCAGCAAATACGAATCACCCACATGGTCCTTAGGGAATGGAACCTTCCTTTGGCCTAAAGACTCCCTGCACAGCTGGCAGGGAACCTAAGAACCCTCTCACCCGGCTGGGAAGGGCCTCAAAAATCCCCCCACCCCAGGGAAATGCATTAAAATTCCTAAGTTGTCATCAAAGCTGATTAAAAAAAAAATATCACAACTACTTTAAGAGGGAGAAGGAAAGGGACTTCTTCACTACCAATGCCCAGTTATTTGTGCAGCACTCTCACTGATGAAAGAGAAAAACAGGATAGAAGGGAGAAGAGGGGTCTAAAAAGGAGAAAGGAAACAGCCCAGGGGATGGAATTAGCAAATTTCAGCAAATGGAAAGGAGTGTGTTTAATAAATGCTGACGGGATTTTGAATGAGTAGCATGAGGTAGGATGGGAAGCAGATGGATGTTTATTGCTTGAGCCCAGTTGGAGTAGCTGAGGCTTTGTTCCAGGCTATGTCTTCCATATTTGTCATGCCTCATGGCCCTCCGACAGCGCTGCCCCACCCCATAAGGGGGTTGGGAGAAAGGTGAGATCCAAGAGAGGTCAAGGGGGCTGGTATTTCAACCAGCAGAGGTTGAGGAAGGAAGGGGATGGGACAAATTATCTCCTCCTCCTGGAGTCTGACTATATTGTGTTTCTCAATCACCTTATTCTCCTACCACCACCATATTGCCCTCAGGTTAAAAAAAAATCCCGTTTATACCTCTGGAAAACAAAGGGGACAAGTAAGATTAGTCAGGGAGCATTGCCTGTGCTACATTTCCCACTGACTACTAGGTTGGGGCATAAGTTTATGATTGAGTAATGAAGACTTCTAGGGCACCATCCTCATTCTCTCAGTCTCATTCCATAGCTTATGACCCTCTTATCCATGGGGAGAGTGGGCTTGGAGTTGGTAGATCAGAGATTATTCAGGGACAGTCCTTCCTTGGGCTAAATGGTTAGAGATAAGAAGGGAAACTGTTAGGGGCCAAGACTCTGTCCTTCACTCCTAGTCTCAGCCCTAAGAAGTAAGAATTCTTCTGCTCCATCACCTGGGAGTTCGAATATAGTATCTCATTGGCCAACTCTACTACTGCTTCCTTGTTCACATTCTAAATTATTCACTCATCAATCTCTCAGAGAGAGTTATTAAAAAAAAAAACAACAAAACCAGATCTGCTGCTTAGGTTCCTAATACTCCAAGTGACAGGATGGAGAGGACACTGTCTTGATGAAAAGGTGGCCAGGTCCTCCAAAAATCATCTAAACCATTTCCTTGCTCCAAGGGAGAACAGGCTAGTTCCCAGGTCCTGCAGGAAGAGATGGCAAATCTTTCACCTATTCCTCCCCCTACACCCGCCTCTTGACCCCGGCATTTGCAGGGATTAAAATGAATTTAATATTTCAGAATCTGGTATTTACAATCAAATAAGAGGCTGAGACTAAACACTCAGTTACAAAAATATGAAGATAACAAACTGGGGAGCAGGTTGGAGTGAAGGATGGGGTTGAAGATGTTGTCATTGGGTTGTTTCAGTCACGTCCAACTCTTCATGACCCCATTTGGGGTTTTCTTGGCAAAGGTACTGGAGTGGTTTGCCATTTCCTTTTCCAGCTCATTTTATAGATGAGGAAACTGAGGCAGACAGGGTTAAGTGACTTGCCGAGGATCACACAGCTAAGAAGTGTCTGAGGTTGGATTTGAACTCAGGAAGATAAGACTCCCTAACTCCAGGCCCAGCACTCTATCTACTGTACCACCTAGCTGCTCACTAAAAACAAAATAAATTCTTGGTTTTTAAAAAATTTGTTGTTGTTACATCTAGTCATTTTTCAGTCATATCTAACTTTCATGACCCCTTTTGGGTTTTCCTTGGCACAGCTACAGAAGTGGTTTGCCATTTTCAGCTCATTTTACAGAGAAGAAAACTGAAACAAGCAGGGTTAAGTGACTTTCCCAGAGTCACACAGCTAGTAAGTGTCTGAGGCCCAATTTGAACTCAGGTCTTCCTGATTGCCGGCCCAGCACTCTATCCACCTCACCACTTAGCGACAACAACACAGAATAGGACAGAGCAGCCTTGAGAGGATATAGAGAGTATCAGGTAGATATGTACTCTCCTGAGGAAGAGATAGGACCAAGGGCTGGGGTGGGGTTGGGGGAGCCCAGGCATTCCTTTACCTGCCTGGAAAGCCCCCTCTTGTTGGATTCCCCATAAGTGGAGGTCTTCAACTTGAGACTAGATGACCATTTGTTGGGGATGTGAAGAGGGGAGTTCTATCCAGGTATGACTTGGTCAAGATGACCTCTGAGATTTATTCAGACATTCTATAATTCCTTGAAGGCTTGTCAGCCTCATCTGGATCAACATGCAGCCTTACAGTTCCTTCCAACCCAATAGCTCTTTCCTCCCAAACCTGAGTCACCACCATTTTTATATTCAGGATCCACTTGGGGTAACCATGGCCCAGAGGTCTTCAACAAGTTTGTTTTTTCTTCAACTTGATTATTCAGTCACCAACCTCTCCTCCAATACCCCCATTCCCCCCAAACCTGATCCTGCCAAAAACCATATCCCATCCTTGGACCCTCCTGATTCTGGCTCCAGGGACATGTGTTGTAGAGGAAAAAGGACCTGACTGGGTTTTAGAAGACCTGGGTTCCAGTCCTGGCTCTGCTGCTAAGTACCTATTCAACCTAGGGTGATTTATTTCATTTCTCTGGCCCTGGGTTCCTTATTCCTTTGTAAAACAAGGGGAAGATTGTCTCTAAGGCTCATTCCAACTCTGTATACTGGGGATCTATAAGATCTACACCAGCTTGGCTATGGTGTATAGGAAACACAAATCCCTCACATCTATCTGCCTAAGGATCAGGGGTAGGTGGATGTAACACAACAGCATTCACTCAAGATGCATTTGGATATAGGTGACCTTTGAAGGTCAATTCGACGCTTTGGACTCTTCAGGGATTGGGGCTGGGAGTTGCTCAGTATGCTGAAACTGTGCATTTAAATTTTGAGAGGGTATCCAGCCTTCAGTGCGAGATTCCTGGATACAGGGGACAATAGAAATCGAATTTGACAACTCTACTCTGATGTCCATCCCCACTCCTTATCTCCTCCCTTCCCTGAGTCAGGCCCCATCATGCTCCTATACTTAGGAAAAGAGCTACATGATGAGCAACCCTTATTTAAACACCCCATTCCTCAATATCATTCCAGTTAAAACCCCAAACTCACAGGATAGACAGAAGATAATGGCTTTACAGCAAGGGAAAACTAGCTGTGTGGCCTTGGGTAAGTCAATTAGCCATTTTGACCTCACTTTCTTCATTTGTTAAAAAAAAATTTGAGGAGAGGGGCTGGATTATGTGAAAGTAATACTCTTACCTTTATGTAGTACTTTAAAAACTACAAAACACCTTTGTATCTGTTATCTCAAAGGATCTCATAGAATCATAAAAATAAAGAATTCTTTGAAGGGCCTTTAGAGATATACAGTTTAACAGATGAGGAAACTTTGGGTCATAGAGGTTAAGAGACTTGCCCAAGGCCACACAGCCAGTAAATGGTAGAGCCAAGACTCAATCCAGGTCTTGACTCTAAGCCCAGTGTTCTTCCTACACACGCTCTGCTACTTTATTCGCTCTACTCAGAGAAGTTCTTTTAAGGACCCTTTCCTCTTTTAAGGAGGCTCTTATAAGATCCCACTCCAAAATTCTACGGAAACACCTGCTCAACAGGCTGACCCACTGCATAAACTCCACTGGGATGTTGTTGTCTCGTGTCCTCCCACGTGCCTGTCATTCATCCGAAAGGGATGATGCCATTGCCAACGTGTGATCAGTGAGGAATGTTTCCTTCAGAATATCAGCAGCTTCATGAAGACATTTGACTCAATTGGGAACAATGGATGTGATTCCCCTAGCTTGCTATCATGAGCCCAGGGAGAGGGGGAGGCCTGAAAGACAGAGAATCTAATTTCCTGACCTCCACTATCCCCTAATAGCTTCAAAAATGATAAATAGTTCTAGCACTCACTTATCTCTGACAGTTTCCTGTGTGTGTCTGGTCTCCTCAGCTAGACTGTATGCTCCCTCAGGACAGGAATTATGTCATATATGTTTTCACTTAGCACAGAGCTCTCCACAGAGGATATTCAGGAAACACTTGCCACTTGCTTAATGGAAATGCCCCTGGGAAAGAGAACATTGCAATGACGTTCAGGTCCAGCAGAGGACGGTGTTTCCATTGCTTTGCAATTCTGATGAGGCAGGTCCACCCAGGAGCTTCCAATGATTTCTGTCTTCTAGGACCCTGGTTCCTCTCAAGCCTTCTTTGGCTCATGGTTCCATTGCTCCTCTCCAGGCCAGAATGTATCCTCAAGGGCTATCGTGTGACCTGAAAAATTGGGTGAGGAGTTAGGTAAGGGTATGCCCAGACCCACCCTCACCACCCGCCATGGTCTGCTCAGACAGAAGCAACTCCTCCATCCTAGCAATCACAAACTCCCCACAATGCAAAGGCCTTCCAGAGGTCTTTTGCCTCTTTCCCCTGATCCAGAACCTTGGCCATGCTGAGCAGAGAGGCCTGAAAAAAGGCAACGGGGGCCCCACTTTTCACTGGGTGGTAACTCTTTATACTACAGGCATAGTGAAGAGACAATTAGCTAGCCTCTCTTTAAGGCAATAGTTAACCTGGAATCTATGGATAGATTTCAGGGTGTCAGTGAATTCATTTTTTAAAAAATATTTAGATAATTGTATTTCAATATAATTGGTTTCTGTGTAATCCTAGGTAACTTATTTTATGCGTTTAAAAACATTATCCTGAGAAGCAGTCCACAGGCTTCACCAGACTGCCAAAGGGGTTTTTGGAGCAAAATAAGATTAAGTACCCTCTGCTTTATAGAGACTTGTACAAATCCAATCCTATTAAGTGACAGTAAAGGTTTCAAGTGACCTGGGCTACCTCCTTTATTCTTTTTTTTTCTTTTTCTTTTTTTTTTTTGGTTAGGCAATGGGGTTAAGTGACTTGCCCAAGGTCACACAGCTAGTAAGTGTTATGTGTCTGAGACCAGTTTTGAACTCAGGTCTTCCTGACCCCAAGGCTGGAGCTCTATACACTGCACCACCTAGCTGCCCCTACCTCCTTTATTCTTAAAAAGATCCCAAGAAGATTCTATAGCCTCTCTCTCACTTGCAAATAATTATGATAGCTGGTGTACATATATATGTATACATATACATATATATTTACACATACCTGTGTGTGGGTATGTAGGTGTATATATACATATATACACAATATATACACCTCTACATGTACAAACATGTACATATACACATATTATACATACATACATATACACACACATATATGTAGCTTTGAAGTACCTTACCCACATTTTCTCATTAAGCTTCAGTACTTTGTGAAGGAGGCATTTTACAGGTTAAGTGATTTGCCTCTGATCACACTGCTAGCAGGTATCCCAAACACATTTGAACCCTGACCCTATGTCCAGCACATTCTCCAGTACAACATACTGGCTCTCCCAGTAGACAAATAAGTTCTGTTCTGTAGCTAATGAAAGTCTTCGGTGCTGCTGCTCCAATTTAAGCCCCTTCCTTTTGTTTCAGTCTCTTTGGAGATGGAGAAGAGCCGAGTGGCATCCTCCTTATAACAGTCCTTCAGACTCTGAAGGCTGCTGTACAAAGCCTGCCTCTGTCTGTCTTTTCACAATTATTTTTGGATTTAGGCATCCGAGGGGGCAGGGTCGGGAAGCAGCCTAACTTTGGCATAGATAGATGAAGCCTCACTCGCTTTTATAAATGGTGGTGAGAGAATGATGCAACTGATTAAGCAGGGCACACATGGAATTGCTAATGAGTTTGATAAAATTTTAATTACCCCTTGTTCTGTGGGGCAGGCAACAAACCATGAAAATAATCATCGTGTCGGGCTCTACCACAGCAGAGCTGTCAACCTAGAGGTAAGTGGGTAGGAGGGTATAGGGAGAGCTAAGATGAGAGGTGGGAGAGGAGCCCTAGACCAAGAGTGAGTAGGCAGGGAGGTTACAACCCCAGGAATTCCGGTGGAAGTGGGGTTGTTTCCACTATTATCCCATATCATTTCATTAGTTCTTGACTTATAGATTGACTTATTTCTATTTCAGTGAGGCTTAAGGGTAGGTTTCTAAAATTTCCCTCCAACCCTGGGGCAGAGGGAGGATATATGAAAGAGGCAGGAACCTGCCAGGGATACCCAGCACCTTAAGACATAGAGACAAGGGGCAGCTAGGTGGTGCAGTGGATAGAGCCCTGGATTCAGGAGGACCTGAGTTCAAATCTGGCCTCAGACACATAACACTTACCACCTGTGTGACCCTGGGCAACCCCATTGCCTAGCCAAAAAAAGAAAAAAAAAGATATAGAGACAAGATGAAAATCCAGATCCTGATTAGTTCTCAGAATCAAATCAGACCCAAGGCATCTCCATGGATTCACCCCCATGGTTTGGACACCTGCCATTGGCCTCCCTCCTCAGGACACAACCAGGAACTTCCCTCTCCTTTCCTTTCTTCTTTGAAGAATGAGAGTCAGAGGGATGAGGGATCCATTCTCAGGTACCTTGGTGGTTTTGACTTTGTTCCCGTTGCTACAGCTCCATCCAGACAGGTCTGGGAGCACCTTACACTCCTCCTCAGGCAGGCAGGGCTGCATCTGACACCACCACTTCTGCAGGACAATGGAGGCTGTGGGAATGGACAGTGGGGAGGGGTCAGCACTGATATCTGTGTGTACCTACATAGGTGAAGAGTAGCAGAACCTAGGTCTTCTCTCTGCTGCTGGAGTGGACAATGAGAGAGGCCTTCGAAGATTCACAAGCCCCCTGGGCTGTAGGCTATTTCCTTGAGAGTAGGGAGGGAACCGGAGCCCCAAGGCCAGTACATGCCCTCTGCCAGTGCCATCCTTCATCTCCGCTTCCAAGAGGGCTGAGGTGAGAAGGAATACCTCCTGGACTGAAGCCTAGTGGTGCTCCTAGCAGTGACTTCAAGCCCAGGTAATCCCTTCATCTCTGCAAGGACAACCCCGGCCAACCAAGTGCAGGGAACAGGAGTGATCCATCACTACGGCGGCTCTACAGTTCAACTATCTCACCAGTGTGAGGGCAGTTCCTCCACATAGCCCTTTCCTGTGGCAGTGCAACTGTGTCTCTGCTTCTGGGTCTGAGCAAATGTGCAAAGGAGGTTGAAGGCATGCACACGTTAATAAGTTCACGAATATACAAGAGTGTTAATGGGTGAGGGAATGGTCAGGGAGCAAACACTAAGCATCTGCCATGTGCCAGGCACTGCTAAGACAAAAATGAAGTAGTCCCTGCTCTGGGTGTATGAGTGTGCCAAAGTAAGTGTGTGAAAAGGTATATATTGGACTGTTCATGTTGTGGGGGGGGAGTAAGAGAAGACAGAAAGAAATAAAGAATAGAGAAAGGAGAGAGGAAAGGAAGAGAGGAGAGAAAAAGAAGAGATAGAGAAAGAAGGGAAAGAAGAGAGAGAGGAAGGGAGAGGGAGGGAAGAAGGAGAAAGGAGAGGGAGGGGGAGAGAGATACGGAGAAAGAAAGGGAGAGAGAGATGTAGGTGTGTGTGTGTGTGTGTGTGTGTGTGTGTGTATGAGAGAGAGAGAGTGAGAGAGACAGAGAGACAGAGACAGAGAGAGAGTGACAGAGAGAGACAGAGAGAGAGAGACACACACACACAGAGACAGAGAGTGAGAGAGAGAGAGAGAGAAAGAGAGAGTGAGAGAGAGAGAGTGAGAGAGAGAGATCTTAATCTATTCATATAAGGAAGTGAGGGGATGAGTAGTTCTTCAGTTGTTTCAGTCACGTCCAACTCTTCATGACCCCATTTGGGGTTTTCTTGGCCAGGATACTCAAGTGACTTGCCATTTCCTTCTCCAGCTCATTTTATAAATGAGGAAACTGAGGCACACAGGGTTAAGTGATTTGCCCAGGGTCACAGAGCTACTAAGTGTCTGAGGCCAGATTTGAAATCAAGTCTTCCTGATTCTAGACCCACCACTCTATCTACTGTGCCACCTAGCTGCCCTGAGGGTATGAGGTTATATCATCACTCTGGTGGCTCTAAAGTTCAGTTATAGGGGCAGCTAGGTGGCCCAGTGGATAGAGGACCAGCCCTGAAGTCAGGAGGACCTGGGTTCAAATCTGACCTCAGACACATAACACTCATAGCTGTGTGATTCTGGGCAAGTCACTTAACCCCAACTGCCTCACCAAAAAAAAAAAAAAAAGTTCAGCTATATCACCAGTGTGATTTGTGATGATGGGCATCCAAGGGGTGGGTATGAGGGTATATCATGAGAGGAGAATACAAGAAGCAAGTGTATAGAAAGGTGAATGTGGGGAAAAGTATTTAACAGGGTGTGAGACTTGGTGTGTGAGAAGGCAAAAATGTGAATGGGTAAGCGTGCAAAAAAATCTCTTCTTATCTGGAAAGAAGGAATAATAATGCCTTTCATGCTATGTGCATAGAAAGAATGATTATTTTTATTGTTATTATCATCACCATTGTCAGTTATCATCACAACAATAATCTCTCATATGGGCAGTGGAACCCGGGGCAGGAAAGAGAACTTTTATTTCACAAAGCCAGTAATTATATGTGCATGTTTACAATTTTCTTTGCTGGTCTTATGCAGTCTTGCTTGCTACGCCTCTCCCCCGCTCCCCACCATGTCCCCTGTCACTCACCGTCCACACAGGAGGGTTTTGCCCTAGTGGTCCCTGCCACCTGGCCTGGGAAGCAGGAACATTTGACTGTCTGGGATCGCTCCTCAATTCGGTTCCGGTTGCAGCATCGATGGGCAGCAATCACTTCACAGGTGCCAGGTTCCACATGTACTGGAAGAAGAAATGTCAGCAAGGATGCTGTCCTTCCTCACTCACCCAATGCTCCTCCTTCCCACATACTGGATATCCCCTGACACTTAGCTCCCCACCCTCAGGGCAGAGAATATCTTAAAAAATCATTTCCATTAAGAGATAAGTAGAAATCCTCCTGGGTATTTTCAGAACACTCCCCCACTCTTCTGAAAGAGTACTTAGTCCAAGATTGAGACTGAGAACCTACTGACCACACCTTCAAAAGAGCCCTACCCACCCAGGCCAAAGAGAATGAGCCTACAGCCCCTCCCCATCTCGCCTTTACAGTGTGGGGGGATAGAGAGGACTAGGGGACTTACAAATGAGTGGGGAGGATTATCCGATTACATAGGCTTTCACTATTCCAGAAGGAAAACCACAGAATTAGGACAGGGGTCCAGACTTAACCCTTGAATCTCCACTCTCCTGTATAAAGCCTCTTTTCTGGTTTCCTTCCAGGGTGGGACTACTGTGCGGAACAACTGGGCATCTTCCCTGTGCTCCGTGGAATAACCTAAACTTGTTCTTTTTTAAACATGGAGACAGAAAGCAGCACCAACTGACATAAGTCTCTGGAAATTCTACCCACTAAGCCTAGCATCTGTTCAGGATGGATCGTGCCTAGCTCTCTAGTTTTTCTCCATTCCCCTGAGGCAGGGTCCAAGGTCATGTTAGTCAAACTATGATTCCAGTTAAGCAGAGGACACCCCCCCTCATTTAAGCTCCAAACCTCTCCAAGAGTCCCATGCCTTTCAAAGGCACATTCCTCGTGTCCCCCTTCCCAGAAAAAAAAAAGCAAAACCTGTGTGAGTCCGAGGATGTGATGAAGCAAATGCCAGCCGTGCCCACAGTGGGGCCAAGCAGAGCACCAAAAGACAGAATCCTGTGCTCCAGCTCCGAAAGTCCCTCTCACTCATTCTGAAGAAAGACAGAGACAAGATGTGTGGGGTTGGAACAGGGATAAAAATGCAACACCTCCTATGCTCTTCTTGTTCCTCTTTCAATCCCAACCAGAATAGGGTTCCCAAATACAACAGTGAAGGAGGCTAGAAATGGAGGGAACCCTATGGGATTCCCAGAATAGGAAGATGGTACCCAAACCAGAAGAGACAAATGAGGAAAATAGCCTCTCAGAATATGGGATGGAGTTGGAGCCCACAAAAAAAGGTAGAGTCAGTATGCTTCCTTCCTTCCTTTCTTCTGCCAAGCCTTAGCTACCTCCCTTTAATTTGGCCCATCTCCCCCTGACTCACCTCTTACTGGGCTCCCAGCTATTGCCTGTAAATACACTGGACTCAAACTGACTCCACCTGGGTAAGTGGGAGAAAACATTGGGGTCTCTGGGAGGAGAGAGACAGACAGAGAGAGAGAGAGAGAGAGAGAGAACTTGAGATTGAGTATAATGTTAAAGCGCAAGGAGAGAAGAGGAAGATACTTGTGGGGTTGGGGTGGGTGCTGGATACTAAAGTTAATCAGGCAAATCCCTCAAATGCTAGATCCCTGGGCAAAATTTTCAGGGGTCCTAAACCATTCTCGCTCCTTTCCTTCCCCTTGAGAGGGTATGTGTTTCCTCTTTTCTCAAAGACTTCAGGTCAAATGCTGGATCCTTATCTGAGGGCATCTCCTCTACCCCTCCAACCAATAGATGGGAGATCTAGGGAACAGAGACTGAGGAATTCTTTGTGCCTACTCTGGGGTGAAGACAATTGTGTTTCCGCAGAGATGAAGGGATAGAATAGGTTGGGGCTGGCTGGGTAACAATTTTTGCGGGAACTGAGGGACGTAAATAGAGCCAAGGAACAGAAAACATCTGGTCCTTTTCCTGGTGGAAACCATAAAGGAATTGAGACCCTCCCCTCAGGGACCCTGAACTGGGTTCTACTCCATCTATCTCCAATTCCCTGTCTACCCCAGCCCTTGGCCCTTGTATGGTCTCTAGTCACTTTCTCTTTGAAGGATAAATTGAGCTAATTCCACTCTCACTGTTCTCACATCCCTATCTATTCTAGAGGGTAAGATCACAGAAGGGCTCTGATCCCCAGAGAGCAGAACCCCCAATAGTTACTCTTTCTTTCAAGGGATTGCCCTACACCACACACACACACACACACACACACACACACACACACACACACACACACACACACACAGAGGCTGAGTGGCAAGAATTAAAACATAAAGATGATACTCAGGACCACAAAGTTGGGAGGGATCCTGGTGTTTTTGTTCCCAGCTCCAGCAGTAGGGATGGAGTCAGTGATCTTGTCATAGCTGGTCAGACTTCACTTTACCCCTAGTAGGAAGACTATAGGGTGTTTTGAAGGAAGGGAAAAGAAAGGGGGCTGGGGGTGAGGAACCCTTTTTTGTGTCCATTTTATCCCTGGAACTAACATCCACACAGTTTGGTAGGTAGGAGGAGCTCTGTGGATCAGAAAGGCCACTCAGCTAGGATCTGGTCACTTCTCTCCTATACCTATAAATAATTTCATTTTGATTATTTCCTATACCCCTATTCTCTGCTGGCCCATTCCCCCGATTCTCACAATCCACAGGAATGCCTCCCTCCCAGCTCCAAGGGGCCTTAAGCTGTGCATACACTGAGGGAAGGATGCTGAAAGGAGACAGAATGGTGCCCTCGATGGAGGCGTTTTGCAACAGTCTTCCTTCTACCATCCACTCCCTCTCTCACTGGAGAAAGCAGGTTCTCCTTGGGGGTCTGTTTTCGCTACTACATTGAAGGATTTGGTGTCTACTGCCTCAGTTTCCCCTCCTGTCTCCGAGGGGTGATGCTCATGGCACCAAATCACCATCCAGGCTCTGGAAGAGATAACACCCTCCTCTCCTCTCCCTCTGTTCCACACATCATTACTAACAGTGCCCTACCTTACAGAAGAAATTCGGGGCTGGATATGGGGACATGAGGAACCCCCAGTCTCTTCCTACCCACGGGACAGGACTCCCTCCACTTTCCCCTCCCCCTCCTTGTCCCAGCCCCTCTAGACATCCTCCCAGATCTCGACACCTGGGGCTTCCTAGTGTTTCATACCTGCGGCCGCTTCTGCCCACCGAACCAGAGGTCGCCCCTGCTCCTACACTCGAGGACCAAGAACCTGAGAGCCTGTAGCCGGGACCGGGCCGTTGCCGCCCTGCAGTCGCTGCACTGACCGGCTTCGTTCCGTCGGGCACTGTCCGGAACCGCTGGATCTCCGTCACCAAGTCGCTGAGCTCTCGGTACAGCTGGGCACCAGCTAGGCTGTTTTCGACGGTGCCACTCCCGGGGCACTGGGGAGCTCCGGGCCCGGCCCAGCCCAGCTCTGCGGAGCTCGGCTCTGCTACCTCTCTCTCTGGTTCTCCCGCCCCAAAAGGCTAAAAAGCGCGCCGCCGCTGCGTATTTGTCCGCTGCGGGCCGCCTCCGTTCCCCCAGCCCTGCACCACCGCCAGCAGCCTTCGACCACTCCTGGGACAGCGACGGGCGCAGCGCAGGAGAACGCAGCGCGGAAGAACGCAGCGCAGCACCGCCGACCCCCGTTAAGCCGCGACAGCCCCAGCCGGGACAGCGGGGACAGCGGGACCAGCGTCTGTGAGGGGGCGGCCAGCGGGGACCAGGTAGCAGCGGCCTCTGGCGGCCACACGAGGAAGGAGGGGACTGGGGAACACCTCGACCCCCATGCCCCGCCCGTTCTCAGTCCCTCGCCTCTTGCTCCTGTATTCTGCAAGTAACCTTTATTACCAAGCTGGTTGAACTCACACTGACAAGTTCACAGGAAAGATACGCCCGGCTCCAAGGTCTAATGATCTGTAAGGTCCCTTCCAACCCTGAAATGACACCATTCTTTGGTCCGTTCCCTGATGCGCCCTCGGAGCGGTGGAGGGAGGGGCAAGAGGTGTTGACAGAACTGGGACTAAGGGTAGGTAAGGTAGACAGTCACCCAGGGTGCAACATGGGGGCGGGTGTGCAAAGAGGGACTTAAGTGTTACTTTTTATAGACACGTATTTTTAATGCAGTCCCCCAGGGCTTAGGAACACAGCTGTGAAAGACTCCTTTCCTAACTGAGTTCTTAACTGAGGAAGAAGTTCCTCTTTCAAGAAATAAAATTGTATTCATACTTTCATGGAGACTAGAAAAAGGAGGGAATAGGGGAAATCAATCTGTAAAAAAACTACTCTGTCTGGGGCAGGGATGAGGAACCTTCGGCCTCAGGCCACACGTGGCCCTCTAGGTCCTCAAGTACAGCCCTTTGACTGAATCCAAACTTCACAGGACAAATCCCCTTAATAAAAGGATTTGTTCTGCAAATATTAGACCCAGTCAAAAGGCCACACCCAAGGACCTAGAAGACCATATGTGGCCTGGAGGCTGCAGGCTCACCACCCCTGTAGGGTTTACTGATGCCTTGGCCCTAAGTCGGGATATAGGGGATAGTGTGGCTGAATGAGGCCGGCTTTGTACTCCCTGCCCAGAGACACCCTATAGGACTGCACCAATCAGCAGCCAAAGTCAGAACCAATAGTACAGGGCAACCAAGGTATGCTCTGGGGCATTGATATGCCGCCACTTTCTTCTCACCCCCTTGCTAGACCTTTTCCAGTCCCTCCCCAGGGACCCATGGCCACTGCACCCCTAGACTGGGTCTGCCTTCTGCCTTCTCTATTGGAGTTAGAGTTAAGATTCTGGGTTTGATTGCACCTTCAGTCTGGTTATCCTCTGGGCCTCCTCAGCTGATCATACCACCTGATTTCCCTCCACACCCACTACCTCAAGCGAAAAGCTTCCTAATTATGGGAGGAAACCTGACTGATGAGTACGTTTTTTGGCTTCCAGGAGCCACATTTATCCTTCTGCTGAAGTGCTCTTCCTAAAGTACAAACAAGTCTGACCAAGTCATTTCCCTACTCAATAAATCCTAATGGCTCCCTGTTACCTCTAGGATCAAATAAAAACTCTGTCTGGCATTGAAAGCTCTTAACAACCTAGCTCTTCCTACCATGCCACTCTTCCCATGCATTATTCTCCTTTCAGCACAGTCTTAGCTTACTTGATGTTTTCTCTCCATTTCCTTACTCCATGCCTCACTGTTACCCATGCCTGGAATATTCTGCCTCCTCACCTTTCCTCCTCTTAGAATGCCTGGTTTTCCTTCAAAACTCAGCTCAAGTATCTTTTACATAAACCTTTTCCTAATTGTCCTAGCGGCTAGTGTACTCTCTTGTCTGATTACCTCATTTTTAGTGGGTAGATGGGGCAGCTAGGTGGCAAAGCAGATAGAGCAGGAAGACCCATCTTCCTGAGTTCAAATTGGCATCAAACATTTACTAGCTGTGTGATCCTAGGCAAGTCACTTAACTCTATTTGCCTCAATTTTCTCATCTGTAAAATGAGCTGGAGAAGGGAATGGCAAACCACTCCAGTATCTTTGCCAAGAAAACCCCACATGGGGTCTTGGAGAGTCAGACATGACTGAATACTCTAAGTCTACAAGGTCCTGACTATATATAGATATATATATATATCCCTTGTAGTTGGGTGAGGAATGGAAAGCATAAAGAATGGCTGGTTAACACAAGAAAGCAGGGAGATGCCCCAGAAACACTGAATAATAAGAACTAGGGTATTTCTGGAAAATTGACATACTTAATTCTTATCTATGCCTTCAGTTCAATTCAACAGACATTTATTAAGATCTTTTTAGTTCCAGGGGGATGAGGGAGAAGGAGGCATCATGGCTTAGTGGTTAGTGGGTGCTGGGCTTAGAGTCAGGAAGACCTGAGCTCAAGACCAGCCTTTGACACTTCCCAAGTGAATGACCCTGAGTAAGCCATAAACCTTTCTGTATTTCAGGCTAAATCGTAGGCAGCTTGTGATCTCTAATGGTGAAGAAAGTTCTCTAAGCTGATGAAATCACAGATCCTTTGGGAATATATATATACACACAAAATATATGTATAATATCCTGACCCTGTCCTTGTTTTGGTCTCTCCCTTTTTCTGATTTTCTGTTGTGCACCTATTTTGCTGTCCTTTTTCCCCAACCAAAGATGATTAGCTTGGCCTGTGACTCCCTCCAGTGGTAGTTACATGACAGGCTCAGTGTCCCACTGAATTTACTTTGTCAGTTATCACCTATACCACTTCCCCCCCTAAAAAAAACTTGGGCCCACTTAGATCTCTAATACTGATAAAATAGGGTGTCATGAGACTATGGCAATCCAAAGGAAAGGAAGTAGTGAGGCTTAGAAGCTGGGGGTAGGAAGGGAGGGAAAAAGAAAGACAGAGTAATAGCAGAGCCTTTGCCACAGGAGGTGGTCTGCATGGGAATATGACCATAGGGAAATTACACGTACAATTAATTCACTAATTCAGGATAGTTTGCTCATATTCAAAGTCATTGCCTTCCCTTTCTCCCCCATTCTCCCCCCTCAAGCACACACACATTGGTGTAGTCTCACTAGAGGTGTTGTCACACCAGGTCATCAGGCAGCACGCACCCAGAGGTTGCTGACACTGAATTCCTCAGGGCAGCCACCTAGTTAAGACACTCTGCCTTCAGGAAGGTCCTCCTCGAAAGTCCAGTATGCAGTTGGACCCCATTTTCAGAGAGCTCCACTAAAAAAACCTCTTGGATTTTCCCTTGTTCATTGGTTTCCAGCTACTCAGAAAGGGAGTCCTAGTTGAAGTCTGGCCTAGTACAAAGGAGAATTGGAGTCCCAAGCCACTTCCTACAGACAGGTGACCCATTTCCTTCCCAGGTTAGTGAAGGGAAGCTAAGGTAAGGGAGGAGGCAGGAAACAGGGCTAGGTGATGCTGGCGGTGATGCTGCTCCCCAGCTGACTTGGGAGAAGGGGAAGCCAGTGATAGAGAATTAAGCATAACTTCGAGCTGACCCAGTCCCCAGATCAGTGGGGCTGGTCTCAGTACATCCCTCCCAGAACCCTCAGGGGGTGGGGCGTTCTGGGGGCGGGGCCAAGAGTAGCAGCATGCTACACCGAGTGCGCTCCGCGGTGGCGCACCTGGTCAGCTCTGGGGGCCCACCGGGGTCTGGGTCCAACGAGCTCCCTACCCCGGCGTCGCCCGACCCCATTGCTCACCCAGAAGCACCTCGTAGCCCTCCGGCGGGGGCTGAAAGCGGAACTAGGGCATCTGGGGATGCTGTGGAGAATCGGGGGAGCTTCTCTCGACCAACCTTCTTGCAGCTGAGTCCCAGGGGTCTACGACGAGCCGAAGACCACGCAGGCCGGGTCGTGCAGAGTCCCCCGGACACAGGCCGCCGCCTGCCCTGGAGAACGGGCTATGCCGAGTGAGCCCCCCTCCCTGATCCCATTCCAGAATGGCATCTTGGGCGCCTGGACCCCTCTTACCCCCAAATTTGCTCCTGAAATTCTGAGAATCACTCTCCCTCCCTGCCCCTCGGACCCCCATCTCTTTTTGGGATGCCCCGACCCCAGAAATCTCGGCTCGAGGCTGGTATCCCCAAAGTCTCACCACTCAGAGACCCCATCACGCCCCCTCACTCTTTTCTGGATTCCCACCCATCATCCTGTGACGGGGAGACAGAGGGCGAGGCTGGAGAACCTGTGGTATAAGTTGGCAGTTTCTCGGCTCGCAAGCCGGCACTTAATATATAAGTGAGTGCGAGAGAGAAAAAAAAAGGGGGATCTGTTAAGAGAGGAACTAGGCTGAAGCCAGGAACCTCGCCCCCCCCCCCGCCTCCCCCGCCGACTCCTGGCCTCAAGACCAGACATTCCCCTCCCCCTCCACAACCAGAAATAGCCTGGGACTCGAAGCTTCGGCCTTGCTCTCGTGGGGGGCGGGGGGGGGGGACGGGGGGCGTAGCGCGAGGTGCTAGGGGCAGGTGGAGAGGGAAGGGGAGCTGGATAGTTCCTTCAGGGCAGCAGAGCCAAGCCAGGGCCAAGGCTAGCTCTTCGACCTCGGGAGTCAGGATCCAGGCGAGTTCCCAGTCTGGGATGCATTTTTAATACCTCTGCCGGGAAAGCAAAAGCTGAAAGTGGGATGGAGCAGGTGGAGGGAAGGAAGAGGTGATGGCATAATTCCTGCCCCCCATGGTCATTCTCAGGTCTCATAGGCTGTGTGCTGTGGGCATACCCGAGGGGTGTCTTCCCCTCCCCCTAT